TGCATGTCAAGGACCCCCAAGACACCCCTGAATAAAAACACGTTCACACATCATGTTTTCATTTCACAAGCACACATTGAAGGGACTTGGCCCTTAGTGAATCTATGTCTCAGCACGTTTGTTGGGAAAACATTGAACCTGGCTCTAATGAAGGCATATCGGTGAGATGCGGCTATAAGCGATGTTAAGTAGGACGGAGCACAATAGATAGGGGTTATGCCGAGATTTAACGGGGAGCAGGCTCCACCACCAGCTAGGAAATTTTAGTATAGCTCCACATCATCCAGCCTTTGATTTATACACCTTTTTGCCGCGTTTAGATCCAGTTTGAGCAATTCCGTGGGCGAGATCTCATAGGACAGCAATTTGGCATGGATTTTTCCTGACCACAAATTTGTGAAGTCATCCCGCCACATGCATTGAATGAGATAATGGTTCGGTAGTTTATGCCATAGGGATATCCAATAAATCAAAACTCTCCTCCATAAAACTAACTCCACTGAGGGGATCTTCATTTCTAAGCTGAATAGCCGCATTACTTACGCATGTTGGTAGTTTTAAAAGTCGGCGTAAGAATTGGCTTTGAAGCGACTCTAAAGGTGAGAGGTTTGCAAAGGCATCCCATAAAGGTGCAGCATAGGCCATTGTGGCCATCACTTTGATGCTATACACTTTCAAGGCCGCAGGGATGAATAAGGCCCCTCAGAGTAGAAAAACGGAGGAGGGAGTGTGATAGGGCTTTTGTCTTGTTTTGAAGATATTCAACGTGCTCTTTCCACCCTAGATTATATTGAAAATAAATTCCTAAATATTTAAATTTATGTACTTGTTCAATTTTCGTGCCCTCCAATTTCCATGAATATAATTTTCGACTCCTTGAAAATATCAGTACTTTGGACTTGGTGTGGTTGATAGACAGATGATTAGAATGGCAATATGATGCAAAAATCTTTAGTGCCCTCCTTAAACCCACTCTGGAGTAAGAGAGTAGTACCGCATCATCTGCGTAGAGAAGTAAAGGACAACGATAATCTGCTATACGGGGGGTGTGGATAAATTTTTGTGAGTCGATTAATGGGTTCCTCATATCACTGATAAATAAGTTAAAAAGAAGAGGCGCTAAAATACAACCCTGGCGTACACCCTTATTTACTGGCACTGGGTTAGTTAGGTCTCCAGCAGGGGATATTCTTACCCTGGCCACGGACCCGGCATGAAGTTGGGAGATAAGCCACAGGAGCCTTCTATCTATTCCCCAGCAGGCAAGTTTATCCCATAGTAATTGCCTCGGAATACTATCAAACGCAGCTTTCAAATCTATGAAGGCTGCGCAAAGTTGGCCCCGTCGAGGTGTCGAGTATTTCCGGGCTAAGTGATAAAGTATAATTGCCTGATCTGTTGTGGATCGATTTAATCTAAATCCAGCTTGCTCATGCCCAATCAGGTCAGCCTCAGCTGACCACTTCATCAGCCTTGCCAGCAAAAAACGGGCATATATTTTCCCAATGGACGATAGCAGACTGATAATCCGGTAATTCCCTGGGTCACCGGGCGGGCCTTTTTTGTAGATAGGAATTATAATGGCCTCCTTCCACGTTCCAGGTATTAAGCCCGTGGCATTTATTGCGTCAAACGTTTTAGCTAAAATCCCTGCCCACCATGCAGAATGTAGCTTTATAGCCTCAACAGGGACCAAGTCTGGCCCAGGGGCCTTACCAGTTTTCAGCTCAGCTATCAATTCTAGGATTTCAGCAGGGTCGGTATTGTGCCAGACGGGAAGGGGGTTAGAAGGTCTCCAGTGAGTGGCCGGAGCTTCTGCCACTGAGAAATATTTCTCAGGAACTGCTCCCATATAGGGGCCGGGATCACCGTTAAGGGGTATTTCGTGTTTCTTCCCTTTATTAAGGACCAAAATTTCCGGGAGTTATGAGATTTTGAGGCAGAAATTATAGTCTGCCAGCGATTTAAATGCCATTCCCGTTTGGCCGATTTCTGGGCCTGTTTGTATGCTTTTTTAGCCAGGGAATAAGATGGAGGTGTTCACACATCATTTTTGTTTTGGTTTTTGGCATAATTTTGGCCGCAACTTTTTGAATTACAGTAAGTGAGTGGTTGCTTAGGCATTGGTTAGCGACTATCTGTTCCCACTTGGAGGTAGGAACAGAACTGACAACCACACCCGTGCGGAAGTCAGTAAGGGTAAGCAATTTTGGGAGAGGAAAAGCTGGGTGCCAGGCTCTCACACCTCTCCCCAAATGCTCCCTGGGGCTCTTGCATGGCCCTAGCCCTTTGTCAGGGATACGGACAAAAGCCTGGCGAGCCCTTGGATTCCTTTAACGGAATACCCTTGCAGCAGCAGCATTGTAGGGGCAGGCACAGCCAACCTCATCCCCTCCACCAACCAAAAAATTAACCAATGCCTAACCGCAACTTAGGGGACGCGGGTGGCGCTGTGGGTTAAACCACAGAGCCTAGGGCTTGCAGATCAGAAGGTCAGCGGTTCGAATCCCTGCGACGGGGTGAGCTCCTGTTGCTTGGTCGCTGCTCCTGCCAACCTAGCAGTTCGAAAGCACATCAAAGTGCCAGTAGATAAATAGGTACCACTCTGGAGGGAAGGTCAACAGCGTTTCCGTGCGCTGCTCTGATTCGCCAGAAGTGGCTTAGTCATGCTGGCCACATGACGTACGCTGTACGCTGGCTCCCTTGGCCTATAGAGCAAGATGAGCGCCGCAACCCCAGAGTCGGTCACGACTTGACCTAATGGTCAGGGGTCCCTTTGCCCTTTACCTTTTAACCGCAACTTACAAGTTGTGACGATTTGCTACGCAGTAGGCAAAACCCAAATGGCACCAGCCAATCAGCCAAATGGTAAAATTCCTACCAGGCCCCTGCTCCAAAGCAAACGACCCCATGACAGGCATAGCAAAGTAAGCCCAAACAAACCCTAAATAAAGGGAGGGTGGGTGGGTTATCCGATGTGCACAGCGAAAAGAAGAAGCTCAACGCTGTACACAGGGACCAATATAGCACCTCCATCAATCAAATAAAATTGCAACAATCAATTTTCCCCAGCAACATTGGAGGTGCCCAATCAAATCCGTGGCCATCCAAACTAACCCGCCCAGCAATAGGGAATGTCATTGTTGCTCCCACCGCAAAACATGCTCTTCATGAAGGAGAACCCGCATTGTCTAACCCTAAAGCAGGCATAGGCAAACTCGGCCCTTGAGATGTTTTGGGACTACAACTCCCATCATCCCTAGCTAACAGGACCAGTGGTCAGGGATAATGGCAGTTGTAGTCCCAAAACATCTGGAGGGCCAAGTTTGCCTATGCCTGCCCTAAAGCTATCCAAATTTATGGCCGTTAATATGGCTTGTGCAAATTCCATAGATTATAATGATGTCTTGCGTGAAATGCCTCCTTTTGTTTTTTCCTGAACCTTTCAACGTTCAGTTTCACTGGATTACCCCAGGTTCTAGTACTGTATTATGAGAGAAGAAGGAAACTTCTGTTCAATTTCTTCACACCATTCCTAATTTTGTACACCTCTGTCATGTTCTTCATACTTCCTTTCTCCCCCCCCCCCAAAAAAACTTAAAAGCTCCAAATGCTTTAAAATTTCATTTCATGTTCCATGATAATTTTAGTTGCCCTTTTCTGAATCTGTGCACCATACTTTGAATGTTCTAATTATACACAAATGTGTTACGAGTTGTGGCTCAAACAAATTTGTCACTGGTTTTCTTGATGCAGTCGGAGGAGCTATTACTAATATATCATCGAATCTGCTCTTAAAAGTATCAGCTCGGTGTCCTGCGTTGTAAACGTTTTGAGGCATGTAGCAGTTTCTGCAGTGATGCCTTCTGCTGGCATCTGTCACAACATACTGCAATCAGTTAAATAATAATTCCATAATCTTTATTTCATTCTATTCATAAACGTACAGAAACAACTAGATTGCCCAGCTTTTCACAGTGTTAAGGTTTATTTTCTTCCTTTTCCCCGTATGGGACATTCTTCTTATAATACATCTACACTGAAACAAAAATTTTAGAACGCTGTGTCAGTGATGGATGCAATAATGTCTCTAGCATTTCATTCCCATGGAGTCAGGTTACTTTGTCAGATTTAATATTATGAGAAACAGGTGGAAGCTGCAACAAATTGGTGCAGTGTGGCGTGCTCCTGTTCAGGCAGCCAGCCAACCACTCCCCCTCCCGACAGATCCATCAGCACTCCATGCCCGCTGGGTGTGCTCTGTTCTCATTGGACTGTTTTCAGTGGGTCTCCTTTGGGTTTGTTATACTTCTGCAAACCTTGGGCTACTCCTAAGCCTGCCAATACCTCTCTCATACCTTTATAAGGATCCATACTTGGATAATGGGTTTCGCATATAGGAATATGCCTCTTTAGAGAGCAGGCACTCAAATGCTTATCAGTGCATGATGAGTGACCAAACTGCAAGCTAGGGCAGTGACTGCAGTTTTCAGTAATATGTAGTCAATAAACTTTAAAAATAAAGCAGCTGCTTACATAACAAGATACTTAAAATAAACCAGTTAAATTTTTTAAAAGACAGTGCATTAATCTCATTTGTACTACTTGCCTAAAGGCCATAGAATGCATTTCTTTGTTCCTTCTTGGGTTTTTTTTTATATGCTAAGGAGTATGGGATAACTTGTAAAAGTTTGGCTATGGCAGTGCATAACAAAACCATGCTTTCAAGTGCAACACTGCTGACTTTTCAGAAGTAGATTTTACAGTAGTTACAACGGGACAATTTGATCGCAGTTATATACCCTATCAACCGTTTATTAGACTAAAGCACAGATGCTTTATGGCAAGTGATGTTGGCTTGCAAAAATAGCGCTATTTTATAGAACTGTAAACTATGCTATATAATTGAGTCAGTATGCTTTAAAAAACATTATTTTATATTTTCGCCCTCATCCAGCTCCATTTGTGCCAGAATGGAAATCCCACCAACTGAAAGTAATTATCACCTCTTAGTGTATTGGCTAAAATCAAGTGTAATGTAAAAAGTATTTCAGTACTTACTGACTGCTGGGAGGACTGGCTTTTGAAGGGTGGGCGTTGAGAAGTAATTCTATTCTGTTAAACATTTCAGAGGGGATCATTTTTAGGTAGGTGGCTGCTAGGAAGGCCTCTTCCTTGCAACGGAAACCCTACAACACTCTCATGAGCTTCTCTTTGTCTAGCATATTCATTGAGCGACCATTCAGAGTTTAGCATGAATTAGGGGCATGTTGGTACATGCAAGTGAATTGCTTATACCTCTCTCATTCCTCCCTGCAGCTGGGAGCAAGAAGCTGTGAGACGTGGCTTGCCATGACGTACCAGCAGTTCTTCATTGGGCTGAAATCCTATGTCCACCCTATCAGATCCTGTAGTTCTGGCTATGCAGTCTGGGGAGGGGAGTGGGAGAAGAAGTGAGGTTTCAACTGCTGGGCTAATGAAAGCCTCTCATTGTTGGGAACAACTGGGGCATTTGGAAATCAGTTTCTGTCCTTATGTTGCCCAAGGGCAAAATGTCAGGGTTGTCTTTGCCCTCCCTGTTGCCCAGACAGCAAAGAATTTAAGCAGACGGCAAAGAATTTTGTTCTGGAGGACTAATTGGAGATTTGCACCCCTACCTTTATTAAAGAATTGCACAGCATGAGGGTGCCCAGTCTGGCCCCATCCTTTGGCCAGCTGTGGGAAGCTTGCATGCCCACCATCACCAGAAAGAACACTACTGTAATGTTTGTTTTCTACCTATCTCCCCATTGCCTTTTTCTTTTTGTATTCTGCCTGTCAGGCTTTAAGCCTGTGGCTTACTTCTGAGTAGAAATGAGCAAGCCAGGGTGGTGGGGGAGGAAGAGATGTCTTGCATTTGGTTCCTCCTTTGAGATTTTAACTGGGGTTTTTTCTTTGATAGGACCAAGTAACTACAAGTTGTGTAAACCGTGCAGAGAAAGTTTGTCAGGTACAGTGCAGGCAGGGTGCTGAGGGAAGAGAAGGAGCAAGATCACATGGATTCTGTATGTAGCCCTGCAGGAAGTTGGAACCACGTGCTGTAAATTGAACAGATTGCTCTGAAAACTTTGGAGCCTAAGGCAGAAAACCTGAAAAGCATCACTCATCCACTGGTGCAAAATAAAAGCATTTATTTTATCATCTCTTGGTTGTTTTTTTAATAGTTTATCAAAACCTGCTGAGTAGTAGGTCTGGCTTTGGAAAATTTCACATGATTGAGGCTTAAATCTTCTTTCCCTTCAAATGATGACAACTCTAGATAGCTGCCTCACCAAATAGATGTTTGTGAGTTTTCATTTATATGGATGGGAAATACAGTGAGTGGTCAAAATTGACAGCACAGTAAATGTCCAATACCATCCTCTTTATGGTATTGGCTTGGTTATATGCAGTTACAATAACAGTTGTATAACCCAAGTCTTTTGTTTAAAAAGCATCTGCTCCAGTAAGCCACACCTTATGCCTTCAGTGAAGATCCCCTCCCCACTCTTTGGATAAGTTTCTAGTAGACCTTGACAGATTAGAGAACTGGGCCAAAACAAACAAGATGAATTTTAACAGGGAGAAATGTAAAGTATTGCACTTGGGCAAAAAAAATGAGAGGCACAAATACAAGATGGGGGACACCTGGCTTGAGAGCAGTACATGTGAAAAGGATCTAGGAGTCTTGGTTGACCACAAACTTGACATGAGCCAACAGTGTGACGCGGCAGCTAAAAAGCCAATGCAATTCTGGGCTGCATCAATAGGAGTATAGCATCTAGATCAAGGGAAGTAATAGTGCCACTGTATTCTGCTCTGGTCAGACCTCACCTGGAGTACTGTGTCCAGTTCTGGGCACCACAGTTCAAGAAGGACATTGACAAACTGGAATGTGTCCAGAGGAGGGCAACCAAAATGGTCAAAGGCCTGGAAACGATGCCTTATGAGGAACGGCTAAGGGAGCTGGGCATGTTTAGCCTGGAGAAGAGGAGGTTAAGGGGTGATATGATAGCCATGTTCAAATATATAAAAGGATGTCACATAGAGGAGGGAGAAAGGTTGTTTTCTGCTGCTCCAGAGAAGCGGACACGGAGCAATGGATCCAAACTACAAGAAAGAAGATTCCACCTAAACATTAGGAAGAACTTCCTGACAGTAAGAGCTGTTCGACAGTGGAATTTGCTGCCAAGGAGTGTGGTGGAGTCTCCTTCTTTGGAGGTCTTTAAGCAGAGTCTTGACAACCATATGTCAGGAGTGCTCTGATGGTGTTTCCTGCTTGGCAGGGGGTTGGACTCGATGGCCCTTGTGGTCTCTTCCAACTCTATGATTCTATGATTCTATGATTCTATGATTCTAGTAGGATTCCTTGCTTAGACAGCTTTTTTAATATTAAAAAAATTGGTAAGGCCAAAACACCATTAGCAAGTGTAAGCAGTAGGCAAGCAGTGATTTATGAGCACAGGGAAGTTTATTGTGAGATTAATTAATTCATATCACTCTGCAGTGCTTGATGATTCATGGATGTAGCTTCTTAAATATATAAAACTTATCCTTTTCACTTATCCACATGCCCGGATCATATTTAACTTGAATCTTTTAATAGCTGAATGGCAGAGGCTGCAATGCTCCCTCGCTCCCTCTGTCAGATTCATGTTCCACTCACTGTCTAGGTAACCCCAGCAAGGAAATCATCCACATTAGATTTCCTTCCAAGAAAATGTCAGCATACCATGTTTAACAGCATCCCAGCAACATGCTGTAACACTTACGTCATTTCTGCTTCCATCCAATAAGATAGGGGATTCTGCTACGTCCAGAAGTTAGAGTAGTGGACTGTCATATTGGTTACTTAGGAGTAAGAAGGACCTTTTTTGGCTTATGAGTAGGGATCGATGGGTGGAATAGCATTGGGCAAGATAACCTGTGTTACTTGCTGGGTAAGGTATCTGATCAGTTATGGTGACAATACAGCTATAGTTTTTGCCAACCAGCACTTCGCAGCCATCGTTGAGAAGCCTCCGGTTAACAATTTTGGCTGCTACTTTGAGAAGTTGTCATTCCAAGCTTGATTCAGTTTAGGGTTAAAGTGAGAAACTTTGTTCGCATAATAGCTTTACAGAGCCCCATTCAAGGAAGTGGATCGTGAGTTCTTTATTTTATTCACATACTGCATCTAGTGATGTTAGGTTGTAGCTTTGCTGGACATTCTTCATATTCTCAGGGGAACAAGTTAGAAATAAAAATAAATCAACTTTTGTGAGTGATCAGTAGGTGAAGGCTGCTGCTCTTAATGTGCCTACTTCATTTCTGCCTAAAACTAGAGGATGCTTTGCTGTCAAGCTGTATAATGTACATCTGTAAAGTTGATTTTTAATAAGAAGTATATTCTCTCAGCACAGATTTTATTTGTATTGATTGAGTTATACAGTTGTACCTTGGAAGTCGAACGGAATCCGTTCTGGAAGTCCGTTCAGCTTCCAAAACTGCAAGCCAAACGGAAGCCCCACCAGACGTTCGGCTTCCAAAAGTAGTTCACAAACCGGAAGTCACTTTCAGGTTTGCGACGTTCAGGAGCCAAAACGTTCAGGAACTAAGCTGTTCAACTTCCAAGGTACGACTGTATATGGGGGAACTTTTTCCCCTCAACCACTTGAGGTGACCATTTGAATGCTACTGAAATCCAGAATCCCCTCATCCCAATTGGGTGTTTTAGTGATGTAACTGTGGGCTTCTTTCATGCATTTCGGAAGCTGGATGTGTGTGTGCATTGCCTTTTCCCTCCATAGTGGTACTCATGTAAGTTAGCTGCTGGTCTCATCATGTACTGCTGTAATTAACAATGCAGCACAGTCTCAGCAGCCTTCGTGGTCAGGTATGCGAAGGCCATCATTTCATATGCTTGCTTCAGCTTGCCTGCTGCTGTTTGAAAACAATGTTCCATCTGAATTCTGAGTAGTGTTAACATAAATATCCAGAACAAAGGTTTAGGTTTGAATGATGGTGTCTTGTATTAACATTGGAAGCACGCTTACGGGAAAGTAAACAGTTTTGTATTAACCTTCTGGCTTGTACTTTTCCTTCTTTCTCGTTTGGATTTTCCTGTTGAGCCATTTCATCCAAAGTTGTTGAAATTTGAATGATTAAGGGTGCATTCAGTCAGCACTTTATTCTATCTTCTTAGTGTTTCCTTACCTGTTAATGTCCACAATGTGAAGGCTGCTTCTGGAAATCTAGCTGAATCTAGCAGAAGTTTAGAGCTCATTTCTGTGTAAATGGTTAAACCATTTCCAAACTGGGAAACCCAGATTATGTAGCAGTTTTGTGTGGTATGTTTCCTGCAGTTTTCATGGATCACGCCTCCACAGGTCACACAATGAAATTTTGGGTGGCATTTTGTCACACTGCACCATGAATCATGTGGGAACAGACACATGCATGTGCAGAAAGGGGGGTGACATATCCAGTGGTGTTCATTGGTGTGCCACACAACACTCACTGGTGTGAATTAAATTTAGTGCAGCATGGCAGTGTCAGTCGAAAAGACACAGTTCCATAATGCAGCAGGTACTGCAGAGTAAAAGAAACCTTAAAAATTAGGACAGAAGCACTAGTACTACAACCATTAAAAATAATTCAATAAACCCCACTTCTGAAGGCAGCCTTAGCCATTCACAAACAGCCATCACTGTTGACTATATGAGTTAGTGAGGCAACAGAAAACAAGTATGACATTAGAAATCTTTTTAATCTCTAACAAGGCCTATTCACCTTTCATTAAATGTCTGTTCCATTTATAGTTTATTAAATTTTCAGAAAGGATCCTTCAGGAACAGACTTTACCTCAGAAAAGTGAGATCGGTATGCTTTCTTAGAGGTGTGTGTGTAGCTTATTGAAATTCACCACTAAATGGACCAATCCCCTAATTTTTTTCAGGGAGGGTGAGCAAGAGAAAAAAAAGTATTCTGACAAAATTTTAACCGGCTCTATGCTGTGTCAGCAAGTATTGAGCATTTTGATTGAAATAACTATGGTATGTCTGGCACATGTGCCCAAACTTTTATGAGGGTCTCAGCTCACTGTGATCTCTCAAAAACCACTAGCTAATGTTCCATTCCTTGCCCTACGACATGTCCAAGCTCTGAAGAAGAAGAAGAAGAAGAGGAGGAGGAGGAGGAGGAGGAGGAGTTTGGATTTGATATCCTGCTTTATCACTACCCAAAGGAGTCTCAAAGCGGCTAACCTTCTCCTTTCCCTTCCTCCCCCACAACAAACACTCTGTGAGGTGAGTGGGGCTCAGAGACTTCAAAGAAGTGTGACTAGCCCAAGGTTACCCAGCAGCTGCATGTGGAGGAGCGGAGACGCGAACCCGGTTCCCCAGATTACGTGACTACCGCTCTTAACCACTACACCACACTGGCTGGGTGATACTTTTTGTTCCCAGGGCTCTTAACATCTTCTAGCCCACTTCCCTATGTGTTATATTTCTGGGCCTTTTTAATTCAATTTAGGGAGCTCCTGGGAACAGTAGGTGGTCAGTGTTGCCCTTTCTGCCAATGCCACCCCAAAAGTGGATATGGGCATGACCTCTGAGCTTGCACTGAGCCTATGCCTGCTCACTGTAGACTTCCAACTTCATGTTCTTCTCTCAGTCTGGGAAAAGTGATATGCTTCCTTACACATGATGCTACTAGAAATAGGCAGAATGAAGGGAAAGCAGCCTGCAGCCTCTCCCTGAAAGAGATATTATTCTCTGTATTGATTAACAAAATGTAGGTTGTTTTTAGGTAAAGAGACCCCTGACCATTAGGTCCAGTCGTGGATGACTCTGGGGTTGCGGTGCTCATCTCGCTTTACTGGCCGAGGGAGCTGGCGTACAGCTTCCGGGTCATGTGGCTAGCATGACTAAGCTGCTTCTGGCGAACCAGAGCAGCGCACGGAAACGCCGTTTACCTTCCCGCCAGAGCGGTACCTATTTATCTACTTGCACTTTTGATGTGCTTTCGAACTGCTAGGTTGGCAGGAGCAGGGACCAAGCAGCGGGAGCTCACCCCATCGCGGGGATTCGAACCACCGACCTTCTGATCGGCAAGTCCTGTGGTTTAACCCACAGCGCCACCTGCGTCCCAGGTTGTTTTTAGAAGTGTCTAATTATCACATAATAAACTAGCTTCAATGGCTCTTGTTTACTTTCCTGAAACTTCTCTGTAATTTTTCTTCCAGGGAATATGTAATATTTTAGAATATGTTATTAGTACAACTGACTGTAGAAGCAAATATTTCATCTTAGTGTGTTTTATCTTGCAAGTGAATGGAAAGCTGCTAATGTGAGATTTCTTTCTTTTTTTACCAATGAAATGTGCAGTGTACCATATTGCTTGTCACTGAATTCTGGGTCGGCTGTCTAGGGTGTTGAATTCTATCCTTATAAGTAACATTCCTTTTTGCATTGCAGTGAAGCAGTCTCATGTCATAGTCATAAATTAAATACTTTACTCTTGTTACTGATAATGTTTAAGAGAGCACTTAGGTCTGAAATTCCTAAATATAACTGCAACATAAGTCATGTGTCTGTATCCCACAGAAGTGATACCCAGCTTTATGATACAACTGCCAGCAGCTTTCTACACCTTGGCTTACTGAATTTGAATTGGCTGTTCAATTTCCATCTAGAAAACACCATTTATAAAGCAGCCCTTTAGAGAGGAACCCAAAGTAGGATAACTTGGTGTGAATCTAAGGACATATGAAATTCATTGATTATAAACAGTAATGTTGCTGAATTCTGGTGGAAGGTCAGAAAAATCTATTTTACAATGAGTCAAAATCCCTTTGAATTTTGTCTAGGCCTCCAATTGTGCTTAGGCTACTCTCCTTCCCCAAATCTTACCTTCCAGGAGCAGGGCCAAAAGCGAAAGCATTGAACGGTGATTGTATAAAGCCAGAAAGCCTTACAAATAGGAAGTTTCCAGTGCAAAGATCCATGACTGTTGTACTTTGCAGTGTCTTGTGGACACTTGACAAGGGAACCACTGCTCTGTCCTGTCTCTAGTGCAGGGAGTGAGCAAAATCTCATTTTGGCCAAACGTTGGAGGATGCAGAAACTTTTCTGTCTTGCATGTAATTAATAACTTTCAAAGAACCTCAGGGAGGAATGTATGTGTTCTTGGGCAGCCTCCTCCTTGCTCACAGTGAGTAGAAATTCCAGACGTATGAGATTTGGAATACAACCACCCCTCACACAGACACACACTTTGAAATCCTGCCCCATGGTGACACCTTCAGAATTCGGACATGGCTTATAACCAGACTTCCATCCTTGCCAGTTTCCCAAGCAAACTTACTGTTGTGAGGTGGGGAGGTTCTCTGGAAGTAGGAAAGACATTTCGGCATTTACTCCCTTCTGCCATCTCTCTTCTTCCCATCCCCAAATTGCCGGAAAAGCAAAGAATTCACCAAGAAAGCTAGAAGAAACAGGATTCATGAAAATGTGAGATGGAGTCAATTTGCCCATTTGTGAAGGGCTGGTGATTGTAACTCTCACATCTTAAAAATGCCATTGGTTCACATATAAGTATCTACCTGTAACTTCTCTAAGATTTTAAATGCCTGTCATTTCCTCATGTGAAGGAGTGATAGTTCTACACTCCTGAGTCTAGGTGTTCAGCTATCTTCCAAACAGAGATGTTCAGCACAGTGATGGGTCCATCCTAGATGCCTTCTGCTGTAGGCACACAAACCCAGGATCTAATCTGAGCCAGGAAACCAGCTCTCTTGTCTCAGTTTCTTTCCTTTCTCACTCTCCTAGGTTTGTTGTATGACAAGGCAAGGGGAAGGAGAAAAGCCCACAACGAAGACACCTCCCTAAGTTCTTGGCAGTCTGCAGCAGGCATGGTTAACCTGAGTTCCTCTGAAGGTTATCCATCTCCTGTCAGCCCCAGCTAACCTGGTCAATGGACAAAGATGATAGAGTTGTAGTCAAGCCACATCTGGCGGGCCACAGGTTCCCAACCCCTACTCTCCAATGAAAACTTCTGAGCTTGCTAGAAGCATTGGCAAGTGAACTCTGGGACGCATCATTTTTCTTAATTCTTCTTTGCTCATCGAACAGAAATATTAATATTTTTTTAAATGCACTTCCCAGTGTTCAAATGGGACTTTGCAGAAGGCAGAAAAAGCCCAAACTTTCTTTTTTTCCATGACAATGGTTGGAAAGACCCAGTTCATTCTGAATTTGAGGTGGGTGGGTTTTGCTCACTGCTATCTCTGCTATCCAAACTGTTTTCTTGGTGGATAACACACACAAAAAAAGTTCTTTTATAATCCACCCCCTCTTTAACTCCCCTCAATTACACTTACTTAATTACTGAGTTTAATTTGGTGACTGGAGCTTTTCTTGCTGTGAGGCAGGCAGCATTTCAGCGTGTTTCAGAGATTGCTACATGCGGAACTTCATCTTTCCTCTAGAGCAGGAGTGGGGAGCTTGTTAACATGTCAGCTCCAGCTCCCTTCAGCCCCGGCCCTAAAGGCCAGGGGTCACTTGTGATCCAGCAACATCTGAAGGGCTATAGGTTCCCCTCTCCTGCCCAACAGGCTCTAATGAACTGATAAATAAATTCTGCAGTGTGCTCACATCATTTGAAAGTGTTGCAAAGTTGAAAAATGCTTAACACCACTTAAAAGAGATCCAATTTTGATACCATTATGTTTCTTTACCTGTAAGCATTCAAAATATGCCAGGCACCAGGCTCATTTTGCACCTGGCTATCGGCCACTTGAAAGGGATGCAGGTGGTGCTGTGGGTTAAACCACTGAGTCTAGGGCTTGCCGATCAGAAGGTCAGTGGTTCGAATCCCCGCAATGGGGTGAGCTCCCATTGCTTGGTCCCTGCTCCTGCCAACCTAGCAGTTCAAAAGCACGTCAAAGTGCAAGTAGATAAAGAGCTACAGTCCGGCGGGAAGGTAAACAGCGTTTTCATGTGCTGCTCTGGTTCGCCAGAAGCGGCTTAGTCATGCTGGCCACATGACCTGGAAGCTGTACGCCGGCTCCCTCCGCCAATACAGTGAGATGAGCACCGCAATCCCAAAGTTGTCCGCGACTGGACCTAATGGCCAGAGGTCCCTTTACCTTTACTATTGGCCACTTGTGACCAAGTGAAGATGCCCGGGTGCCAGGATGGCGCCAGATGTCTCCACCATCTGGAGGTGCATGCCTGGGCATTCTTGGATCTTGACTTTTTTCACACACTAGCAACACATCCTATAGAATTCTATCCGTTATATTCTATCTGCACAATCAGAATGAATTTCAGGAACCAAAAAGTTGTATTGAAAAATATGACTTTTGAGCCGTTTGGCCCCAAAATGGCAACTAGGCATTCCGTTTTGGTGACTGTAACCCTGGTTTAAGGAGCCATTTGGCACCTAGCTTATATATCTGAGTTTCTAACACTGCCTGCAAGTTTCACTTGGTTAACATTTTGTTAGAATGAGCTTTGGCATGATAGAGGAGACAAGAAAGGTACTTGACTTACCCATGAGATCTCTTGAATTCTAATGTTTTTCAAGATGTAGAAAATTTCAGACCTTTCCACTTGGTGTAAAATTCAGAATAATTTTTTATCAAGCAAAAAAGGGTGAGTTTAAAATAACAACAGCATCTTCTAAGTAGGGGAGAGTTAGCATGGTGCCCTTCACAAGCTGGATGGGACCGATAAGAGTTGTAGTCAACAACACCTGGAGGGGACTACATTTGCTATACAGTGGTACCTCGGGTTAAGAACTTAATTCGTTCTGGAGGTCCGTTCTTAACCCGAAACGGTTCTTAACCTGAGGTACCACTTTAGCTAATGGGGCCTCCCGCTGCCGCTCCACGATGTCTTTTCTCATCCTGAAGCAATGTTCTTTACCAGAGGTACTATTTCTGGGTTAGCGGAGTCTGTAACCTGAAGCGTCTGTAACCTGAAGTGTCTGTAACCCGAGGTACCACTGTACCCGCTTTGAAGGCTTCTAAGTGAAGAGGTGTTGGGCTGCAAGCTTTTATCCCAATCCAATTTGTTGGTCTGTGGTTACTCAGTGGTGAAGGAAAGTTATCTCTGCTTATTCTCTATTAAGGTCTTTGAGTTGAGCACTGGAATTGAAT